TCGCAAACCCAATTGCTGCGAACGGCGACGAATCGACATTTCACGGTCTTCAGCAACACTCTCAGAAACAGACGCAATATTCTCTTCTGTACGCACTGTACGCATTCGTGTGGTTGGTTTAATGTCCAATAAAGTAAACTGAGTGCGAAACTTGGTCACAATCGCATTAATTGTTTGCTCACTTGGTCGATTATGTAGACCATAAATCGGACGTAAAGCGAACCGAACACTGATTTTGGTAATAAAATTCAATGATTTGCAAGCGTTGCTCGTTAGTAAGTCTATTCATGATGAAATGTCAAAGCATACTGAGCATCTTTCTCTTTGACACCATGTCTGAAATCCCACGTGATCTGTCAAATACTAATGCATGAAAATCCTAACCTCAAAAAAATCACCCGTTATTTCGTGATTTTTTTTTTTTTTTTTATCACATTGTATTATGTGGCGGTCAATGTCTTTGTTAGTGCTGCCACTGGGGGTAACTTTTCTGCCAAGGTATGTTAAATTCCCCACCCTCTCAAGGATTTGGTCGGATAGTAAAATATCACCAAAAGACTTCGCTGGCATATTTAGAACCTTAGTTTCTCTGTGTAGCGCGCTTCTCATTTAAGACTCAGCTTAGTCAATGTGTTCATTTGAGAGGGAATTTTCCTACCACTCTGTCAGACCTCTTCAGGAAACACTTATGTAGCATTGAACTGATAATATCAGACAATCTCAGGCTAATAATAAGTGTATGCAGCAATTCAGCGGCGAGTTTAAGCAGCACTTTACGCTTCCCTTACTCAATACGCTGTGCATGTGGTTACGCTTATCAAAACCAAATATACATGATTATGTAATATCTCGTTAAACAATATAGTACTTTAACTTGTTCCATATATTTTATAGACATATAATCTATTGTCCTTTACGAGATTATTACTTTTCTGCACCATTGTTCAATATTCATATTTCATCCAATTTATGAACATTGTTGCTTGTAACACGCTGTTGAAACATTTATTTGCAATGTATTTTGATCTTGCTGTCAATTTGGCAATTTGCAAAAACATAAATTTCATTTTGCACAAGTGAACAAAGAAAAAGAAACAATTAAGCCCAGAAATAAATGTCCATCAACAGTTATATAAGTGAATTTCCCTCTCACTTCATCGAATCTTTATCAATGAAGGGATGACTGAATATTTGCATTGTAAAATATTTATGTAAGGCGTCGCATTTCAAATTCATACAAACAAACATGTTCTCGAATATAAATATTTGTAGGCAAAAACGATATAAAAGTATGTGATTGAATGTCCTGTCCACAGTTGCTGTAGCTCAGAGGATACACGCTTGTGCGATGTCAATGATTTATAGTCACACGAGCGAGTGTGCTATGGCAATGGCAATGGCAATGTGCCGCAGCATGCAATGGTTGTTTGCATGCATTTATGTGTACTTTGAAGGGAGAATTACCAAAGGTTTTTTTTTATTCTTATTAAAATAACACTTTGTTCCAAAATTGAGTAATTCTTAGCTACTTATTATTTAATATTTGTGAATCGGGAACAACAATAATTTTTGTAATTAAGTAAACTCTAATTTTTTCCGAGGGAAATCAGAAAAAATTAAAACCAGATATTGCTTTCTTCTTCTTAGTTTCTTTTTGGTTATTTGTGTTTCTGTTAGGGAGGGGATATGAAGCTTTTCTCTGCTTTTTTCAAGATTGTTCGTATTTATTGATGAAGGAAGACGAAACACTAATCGTCAATAGATAGTTTCTGAATACCGTTGGTGTTCTGCTCATACGAGTTCAATCCAAATCCATATGGTCCTTTTCTGATGAATCTCATTTGTTAAACTAATTGCGATATGGCAAACACGACCTTAGTGGCAGGGCCTTAGAGCAGAACTCGAAATTGTGCAGGAGTCATCGAACATTTTCTCGGTCTTGGTTAGTAGAGTAAATTGGTAAAGGGTAAACCAAGGAAAGGCAAAGCTAATGCTCTTTAAGGGGATGACCAAGGTTGTTAGCTTCATATTACGAGATCTGAACCAGACTTGCAAAAATCATACTTTCGCTAATACGTGACTTAAGTAAAATTAAATATATAAATCAAATAAAATAAAAGAAAAAAAATAAATAAAAAATTATAAAAACAACAATTTTTTTTTGCAATCGCTCCAACCGCGGACGCCAAACTCGCATGCCTTGCTTGCTTACTTGAACAAAAGAAAACAGCTTCCCGTTCTTGTCAGTGCTTTCGTCGAAAATTCCCCGGATCCGAGTTAATTCCCAAAAAATTCGTACACTTGCTTATACGCATTTAAAGAGGAAAATACATGAGTTAAAGGAAATATAGGCTGTTTGTGCAATTAAGCGAGCTCGTTTGTCAACCGTATAACACACATTCGTTTTGTGAATTTAAGCCTAAATAACATAATTAATTTTTTGAGCAATACGTACACTCTAAAAAATGTTTTTTTCTTTTTTTAATTGCGCATATTAAGATAGGTAACCGGGTTCCCATCTTAATGAATGCAAATTAACACACCGTGTTAATTAAATTAAACACTGATTGTTTATTTTTACTTATCATATGTGTGGCGTAGAACAAATTTCAAATTTGTTTGTTGAATTTCAAACATTTTTTGTTCACAATTTCACAGTTTTTACATAAAATGTATAAAATTTCATCTAGCAAATGTTTGTTTAAATTTACGCATATAAAGAGAGGTAACCAGTTTCCTTCCCTCATGTGTGCAAATTTACAGACCGTGTAATAAAACTAAACACTGGTTCTTTACTTTAACATACCCAATTTGTCGCGTAGAGCAAAATTACACACCAAATGTTTAAAATTGAGTAAATATGAGCACTTAATGCTTACTGTTAGTAAACAAGTTATTTTTACTTTCAAAATGTTTGCAATTTTAAACAATTTATGAGTATATTTTAAACATCTCATGTTCAAAATCAAATCTTAAACATCTTGCGCATTTATTTTAAAATAAACACTTTTCAGTAGTAGTTTTATGTGCACTTTTTAGAGTGTATATACTTCACTATTAGAGAGTGAGACTATTTTAATTTTTTGACAAAAGTTTCTCGCAGTTTTGAACTGAAAATCGGATCTCGGTGGAGGTTGTTATAAAATGCTACCAGGGTGTTGTAAACTCCAAGGTCCTGAAGCGATGAGGTAATAAAAATAATATTACTCATACGCCATGTAACACCACGTCTCATGCAATAACCATAACACCATAACCATACCTTTGTCTAAAACTTCCGAGCTGCTTATGATAACCAACCAAAACTCAATAGATACCGAAGGTTATGGTTATCGTTATGGTTATGGCTATGGTAGGGCAGAAATAAATGGGCCTTTAACAGGTCTATTCTGCTTGTTACCGAACATTTTAACACCGGAAAATTTTGTTACCAAAAAATAACACCACTTCTTGTAGCCGAAATTTTAAGTACCTTGGTAACAACTTAATTCAGCAATTGAAGCAGAATGAAACTATGAAGTTTTGTATAAATTCGGGTTTTACATACTTCACGGGACATATTTTGTTACCTGCTTATGAGATGGTAACAAAATTTACCAGTGCGCAGAATGCAAAAAGGGTGTAAAAATTACCAGAAACTTAATTTTTTACACATTTTTTAACAACAAATAATGAATATTTCCGTTAGAAAAAGTTACTGTTCTGTATAGGGCTGTGCGATTAATTGATTACTCAAAATTTTAATTAATCATAAAGTAAATAACTCAATTATTCGATTAATTGGAAATTATGATTACTCAAAAGTTCAGTTACTCGAGTAATCAAGATTTTTGATTAACCAAAAACAAAAATATTTGAGTAATTTGCTTTATGATTAATCAACATTTCGAGTAAAATGAGTAATCAACATTTCAACTCTTTACATATGTATAAAGTAGTTAAAGTTCCTTGATACTTTGAAAACAACGTTTCTGTTTTCAAAAATTAAAGCAAACAATTTTTTTCATATACAGAATGTAAAAAAGAAAATAAGCATTTTCCAAAGCAAACTCTTTTAACGAGCAAAATTATTTTTTTTGAGTAATCATATTTCAAGTAACTCGATTAATCATCGTTTTGAGTAATCAAAATCTTGATTACTCGAGTAATTGATTAACCGAATAATTGATTAACCAACTTGCTCGAGTAATCGAATAATCGCACAGCCCTAGTTCTGTAGTTTCATGTCCTATTGATTTGTATTTAAGAAATCATTCAATTCGCTTACTTACTTGCATAACTATTTACGTACTGTATTAACAAAAACTACCAACCTTTGAAAATGGGTGCACAGTTGAAACAGCCTTTCCCAGTTGGAAGGATTGGAATACTTTCGATCCAAACACCTAAATCAAATGCTTAAAGGTATAAATAAGAAGTGTTGTGCAAAGAGAACATACTTTACCTTGCGAACTACCATATATGTATGTGTGGCTGTTTAACAAACTGCCTTAATTCAAATTTGTAAGTCAATTTAAAGAGATATAAGAAAATTTTTATATATACATAAATAATTATAAGTAATTTTTTTGGTTTATGAAAGTTCAGAACTTTTAATCTAATAAATATAATTAACCACAGTGTATTGTATGAAATGCAATAGCTTTAGGGTGCGTTCACACAGAAATCCGAGTGACACCGAGCGGAGCAAGGTGGAACAAAGCGAAGCTACTTGTGTTCACACTGGACCAAGCGAAGCGAAGATTTTCTCTCGGACTCTACTGCAAAAATACCACAAAACTTACCGTAAATGAAAAGTGAAAAAATATTTGCTCAATTTTATTCAAAAGATTCGTTGTAAAATTCGTTTTAAATGAATATTCAGATTTTTTTTTTTTGCAACAGCGTCATGAAACATGAAAATTAAATAGAAAATACAAAATCAAAAATCAGGATACGTTTATACAAGATCACAGCTTCTGGTATATTTTTCCTAACAATGCTATCATGAGAATTTCCAAACATCCGAAGAGATAAGAGTTAGGTACAGAACTTCCTTAAGCCGCCAGCCGACATAACACTTGGCAAATAGCTTTTGCAAGGCAATACTATTCTTATTGCCGAATTTTAACAAGAAGGCGCCTTAGAGAAAAGAGTGCAACACGATGCGATCAACATAGATTTTATGTTCTCCGGAACGAGCATAATGAAATTCTCGAAGAAAATGCGAATAACTTCGGTTGTTTGAAAGAGCAGTAGCGCAGTATTGATATTAAATATTGCATCACAACCGAAAGGGCCAACAGCTGTTTTGCACAGTTTAGTTTTTGAAGTTTCCAAGAGCTCCTTCTGATCTAGTTACTTTTAAATAAGAAAAATGGAAAAACATAAACGTAAAATATTATTGAATTTTGGTTCTCCTCAAAACACGTTCATACATATGTACCTTTATTACTTCTAACGCGGATAATATACGCCCAATTGCATTATTGTCCTCCTTCTCAGCTTAAATCTGCAATATAATATACTCAGTTGATGACTATGTGCCTTCGCGCTCATCTAGGATTTCTGTAAATGCAATTAAGATAGAAAATGTTTATTTATGAAAATCGAATTATGCACAAAATCCAAATGAAAACCATTTAAAGCTCATACTTCTGCAATCAGTAAAGTTGGAAAGAAATGTTTTGAAAGCCTTGAAAAAGTCCGATTGTGACACCGACATGCTTTGCTCTCTCATACACCCAAAATTGTTAAGCTCTCACCAACACCTTTGACTGTAGTTGCATCGGCATTAAACAACAGTTGGTGATCCTGTTTTAGTCCTGCATCCAAGGTAAGCGAATTAAGATTGCAAATTGGTTCAGACAGTGCTGTCAATTCGTTGGCCAATAATCCGTAAATAATACTCATATGAAATAAACGCGGGTTAGTCTCTAGACTATGCCTCATTCGTTCAGGATTCGGAGTAAGTAACTGACTCCCCTTTGCTCCATGATTTGTCTTAGAACGAAATTTTCCCATTTTATGTAGATATTTTGTCTGTAAACCAAACTTGACAAGGGATGACGGAAATTCGTTCCAAAATAAATCATTTTGAAGAAAAGTTAAAATTCCTCAATAACATTCCGAAAATATGAGCAACAGGCTGACGATTTTCTAGATATAGTGCAAGCATTTCGCGCATGTCCCAACGTCGTAATCTACGCTTGAGTTAACATTTTGTTGGACCTACAAAAAATAAATATATATGGATGCGTGGACATATCGACACCTGAGTATAAGATCGGCCTATCTAAGCAATAACTTCGAAAACGCCCTACCTCTGAAAACATTTCAATAACGGCCCATTTCATAATTCGGTTCAAAAATGCCCTATCTCGACATATTTTCAATATATTTTCAGCTCATGTGGGGCACTCCGGAATCGAATTCTGAGATAGAACGTTCTTCTACCAAATTCTAAGATAGATTGGCTTTCAATAAAATTCTGAAAGGGAGCGTTCTTGAATAGTTTTCTAAGATAGGGAGTTCTCGAACAGGCTGCCGAGATAGGTCGATCTTCCACTCAGGTGTTGCCATACCCGTTACTGTACGAGTAGTACTTGCCACATCGTAGTCGCCCAAAACCAATCGTAACACAATTTTTTCTGCCGTACATCGAGTACACCTGGAATGTGAGTCTTCTCATTTATTATGTGTTGGTTTTTATAGGTGCTGTGATTACACAATAGACCTCTCGAATAGATTGAATCCGTTCTCTTTGAGTACTTTAATTTTGTGCTTGAGATTATGTGAACTAAAGCTGCTAGGGCTTTTAGGGCACACCATAAATCCCTCTGCTATAATTACATTTGCCGCTGCAGTAGTTGTAACTGATCTGAAAAGAAATAAATTTGCATTAATTAAATTTGAAATTTAGTAAATTAATAAATTTCTTAAGCTCTTTCTCATCTAGCAAAAGCGTATTAATAGAAGTAAAAACACCAGTAATGCGTAACAGAAATAAAATTAATCTGGGCTGCAATTTTTGGTAAAGTACTTTTTACCACAAGCGTTCGAAAAAATATTCAACCAGTGTCTGACGGTGGGCGCATGCAGTCACGAATGTCCTGGTACGCGCAAAGTAAAAAAAGTTTGTAATGTTTTCCAAAATAATTCAGTAGAGATTTGCGTACATGAATCTTCCATGTCTTGGAAACTAAGTACGAAAATTGAAATTAACTAAAAAAATAATAGTTTTGGGAATTTTTTTTATATATAACTCTTACAAAGAAACCCCGACTTATTGTACGTCTGATACTTGAAATTTTCATCTCAGTTGCTTGTACTTTTTATCTATTTTTCAATTAGTTCGTTTTTTTCAGACTCTCTCTTAACGCTTCGATGCGAACATGACAGCACAGCTGTTCAAGCTTCCACACACTTATTTTGCCATTGTCCAGTTGAAAAAGTGTCACATGCATTGTTACCAGCTTACGAATATTTTTTCACATCGTGACTTTTGCCATATTCGCTTTCACATGAACCCTTGCCTGACAAACTATGAGTGCGTTCATGGCAGCGAAGTCGTGTTCTGCACAATTTCTCATACTGCTAGCTGCTCATAAATTTTTCTTGCTCCTGCTACAAACCTTGCTGCAAAGATACTTTTTCACTTGCATTCTTTGACACTTTTTGCACTTTGTCAGGAATACTGCTACGACCATTACTCTTGCATATGCGAGCAACGTGCATGTGTAATTTTTTGTGGCATGAAACTCAATGCCAAAAAATGTGTGCCACCAATTAAAGCTAAGCCATTTGAAATTTAAATCCAGCGAAGCTTCATGCCTCAGCAAACACAAGTGGGATACTTTCTTATAATTTTTAGTAGAATAATTTGGGGACTGTCGACTGAACCTTCAAGGATTTGAACTACAAAAGTGGCAGAGGGGTAGGCATGGCTGTAGTGTAACAAATTTAAATTCAAGAGTTGGAAACGTACTACAAAAGGAGGTATAAAATTCATAAATTTTAAGGAACGTAAATAAATCAAATTTAATTAATATCTTTTTAATTTTTTCTATACGGTTTATATAGATGCACTGATAGGCTACCACTTAAGTGGTATAAAGTACTTTAAGCGTATTCGAATCCCCAAAAGACATGCTATTACGACGCAATGTAATTAATATGAGATTAGAAGGTTAACTTCATATATTTGCTCAAGTGCATACCAAGTGTGCAAGTTATCGAGCTCTGTTTGTAGAAATTTAGAGTCCCGGAAATTTCTTATTACTGAGTACATCTTCAGAGTATTTTCTTCAGTGCGCTACAAGGTAACCTCATAAAAGTTAGTGTTACTAGAACAGCTGATTTAATTTGTCTTGGTATATAAATCACAAAATTTTATATTTTTTCTATCTTGTTTCTTAAGTGAAGAAAAGCCTAACTTTTATATTTGTGTACCAACAGCAAAAAAAAATAACATTTATTTAATTTTTGCATATCCCGGCCGCTTAAGCTGAGTGCTTAGAAGTGCGTACTATCACTGCATAGGACCAAGGTATGATACCTAGTCAAAGCAAAATCTTCTATACCTCTAAAAAACCCCCATATAAATAAGCGTAAAGTTTTACAACATCTCATTGCACTGATTATTTATGTATGTGCGACAATGTCGTGTCGTGCAAGCACTTTGCCGCTTTCAACTGCGTGCTTACATTGGAGTCATGACCCGGAAATGCACCCACAAAAACTATGTAAACAATAATAATTTCTACAACAACCAGAGTAGTGAGGAAACAAGTGTTTACTCATACCTTCTTCTTTCTTTTTTTGAACTCATTGAAATACGACCTTTTTTCGTGCACTTCGCAATGGAGCAACCTGCCGCGAGAATATTTACGACAATTACGCTGCGCTGCATTGGTAATAAAACGATGCGGTGTACAATTGTCACAAACATGCATAAACGCACTTGCAGACATGTAAACATTTATTTTCCATTTGTGCATTTGCAACTAGCCGTTGAGAGAGTGCGGTTCACGTTATAAATATATATACAGTGAATGCGAGCATAAGTTTGTATGTTTTTAAAAATATACTGATTATCCAAAAATGGTTTGATTTATAAAAATTGGTTGTTTTCTTCGCCAAAAACGTGCTTTTAAATGGTGGGTGGTATTTTTTGAAATCCAACATAGCGGAAAATTTTTAAAAATTTATTCAATGCGCTCGAAACCTGTTTGTTGGGCGTTTTTCAGGTTGATGATTATGAATCTTAACGTGAATTTTAAAATCAAAATGGCGAATACAAGACGGCGGAAACTTTGTAAAAAAAATACTTTACAATTGATTTTACCAAATTAGATGCGCCATTTTGAATTTTAAATATTCATGATCTAATAGCATTTCAAATATTTGTCCGCAGCAATGAACGTCATGAGTTTCAAAAAACGCCTCTCATTATTTAAAACCTAACATTTTACCGGATGAATGAATAATCAAACATTTTTAAGCCATATTTGTTCCGTAATTTTGAATTTTAAAAATTTCTTTTCAAATTCGCAACCAGACACCCCAAAGCAACAGAGTAACAAATTTCACGCGAATGCAATCATTTGTCAATACTTTGTCCGCCTTATTGGATCCGCCATATTGTATTTCATAAAATGTCACCTATCATTTAAAAATAAATAATTTTACTGCGTTTTCAAGACTATAAACGATTTTTTTTTACCTGCAGAAATTTTGTAGTGAGGGGGACTTCAGTTGGCAAAGAATGTCTCATAGGTAGGTTAGTGGTTTGTATGTACCTGTGTGCCGTGTTTTGCTCTTAACTTCACTTACATACACAAAGGATAATTTAGTTTAATGCTTTTACTTTTAGTTTGATTGTGTGACAGTAAGTTAGCTGAGGAGTCAAGGCAAAATAAGTGTCGTTCCTTACACTGCAGTCGAAAGCCACCAAGCCATGCAATGCCTCTTGACGGCATCAAAGCGCGGCTCGTTTCTTACTTTAGTTCTGCTGGTTCAGTTGTTTCACTACAATGTTTTCTTGCACATTTCTTCTCCCTTCGTTAGCGTGTTTATTACAAATTGAGCACCTGAAAGGCTTGGGAGCTCCTTATTATAGTTTCTGCGCAGCCAAATCAGCAAGTTTTTTCATTCGTACAATTAATTTTAAGTTGCTCATACGCCACGTCACACGTTGACTTTTTAGTATGTTATGCGGCAGTGTTTAATTGTACGCATAAAAATTCGTAGCTTGCTTACCACGCACAGCTCTACACATACAGTATCGGTCATATCTATAGCACGCCCTTTCAAAGTGATATTGTGTGCCACTTATGCTTGTTTATTTATTTTTAAGAATTTTCAATTAAAATACAGTTCTTTCTCTAACAAACCCCATATAAACCCAAGTTTAACAGTTTGTAGAAAACTTCAAAAAGTGCAACAAATTTTCACCTAAGTTTCAAACTTTTTTCTCGGAAGTGTTAGAATTTTTTCGAGTACACAGTTTTTTAACCACTGCAATTTTAGTGTGATAGTGTGCAAATTTCAAGTGGCTACGAATTACCGTTAATTTTTTAGAATTTTTCTTATCGCATTGGCTTCCATATAATGAATAAACTCAACTTATTTGTATATGGATGAAAACCACAACACGTATGGCGAAAAAAATTGTAAAAAATCAACGGTAAGTTTCAGCCACTTTAAACTTGCACATTATCAGACTAAAATTGATTGGGATATAAAAATGTGTATTCAGAAAAATTCAAACACTTCCGAGAAAAAAGTGTGAAATATAGGTGAAAATTTGTTGCACTTTTTTGAAGTTTTCTACAAATTGTTAAACTTGGGTTTATATGGGGTTTGTTAGAGAAAGAACTGTATTTTAATTGAAAATTCTCAAAAATAAACAAATAAACATAAGTTGCACCCAATATCACTTCGAAATGGCGTGCTATAGATATGACCGATACTGTACATTCGTATACATACACATTCACACGAGCGCAACAAGCGCGCAATTTAAAATTTCGTGCGCTATTAAATTCTTAACGCTACATCTAAGCACATTTCCTATACTCAGCGCCCTCCTCCGTTCATCCACATACCAGGTGTCACCTCTTGCGCGGCTTATATGTATACAAATTAAACTCTACGAAAGGCATTAATTTTGATTACAAAGTGGAGTGTTAAATGTGCCAAGGTATATTAAAACTGAAAAACTTTGCTTGTTACTTTGTTGTAGGCCATAAAATTAAAAGTAGAAGGATAATAATGAGAGCACAAATTTTCAAAATTATAACTTAAATGAAGGCAACAACATTTTTCATGTATTCGCTCCTAAATTATGCATGCACATTTTCTTGAAAGGTTGCCGACCTGCCG